GTCGTGTCGAATATTTCTGTCGGAATTTCTTTTCTTGGGCATTACTCATTTTACAAGACGCAAAAAAAGATCCCCTGCAAAGGCGTAATAACATACTGCAGGGGCAAGTGCTGTTAGCGAGCACCTATAAGAGCCGGCATTGCACGCGAGGGGGTGGGTGCTCAACACCATGTCTTGTTAGTGGCGATGTTTACACACCACACAAGGTACTCGTTTTAGGCCGAGTCGACCTAGGGGGGAGGCCCATGACCGTTTCAGATAATCATCACTGGTGTTGGCAATGAGCGGGAATCGAACTCTTCGCCAGGTTCATAACAAACAAAGCTAAAGATCCCCCATATAGCCTGTATAGCCTGTAGGGACAAGTGCTGTTAGCGAGCACCTAATGAACGCCGGAACACACACACGCACACAAACACAAATCGTACGTACAATCCAAATGGGTCTGGGTGCTCTCAAACAACAGTAATGATTACAAATAAGTTATTAGTTTTTTTTTGGCACGATGTTCCATAGTTCTTGCTCAATGTGCTGGATGGCGGTGGGGGAGGGGGGACTCCTTGAGTTCAGTGGGTTGAGGTCGGTGCACGAGCACGCGGAGCGAAACGTCGGACTTCCTGCTGAACAACAACGTGCTGAACAGCCTGAAAAGATGTCGGGGGGGGGGAACTGTCGCGCTAAAATCGTGGAAACTTACGCAGTCGGAAAATGAATAAATTTGTTGTTTAGATAGTATGGGGGGGGAATGGGATTTGTTGCACAATGGATGAGTCGTTGATCATGGCGTGCCTCTGTGACGACTGAGAGATGATGGAGTGATTTGGAGACGGTCGCGCCTTGTTGCACACGAGTCCACGTGTTCAGGACATGCTCTCTAATTAACTGACACCGCCGTGTCGGTGGTGGTAGCGTGGCAGCATCTCGGCTTGTCGGTCGCATCTGTCCACGTGGCACACTTGCCTTCATTAGCGACGCGTCACGGTGCGCCAGGCCACCCCGGCTGCATTAACTGCGCTCTCCATCGATAACGATTGCCTTCCAGTCAACTGCCAACAAACCCGCGGGTAAACAAAGTGGAAACAGCCAAACAGTGGCTCGTTATATAAGCAGAAGACCCATTCAAGATGTAGTCGACGTTGCTCATTCCAACAACAACAGCAACAACAATGACGATGAGAGGGATGCTGCCAAAGGTGTGACGGTCGGCTAGCTGCGGACTTGTGGTGCCAGAGGTCGCCGGTTCGATTCGGTCTCCCGACCCGGCGGTTGAGATCTTTGAATTCCCCACTTCTACAATTGGGGTACACCACAGTTGGTCCATCGGCGGGTTCGCGTGTTGGGGGGGGGGGGGGGGGGAGCTCAAATGTGGGCTATTCCCTGAAGCTTTTGCCAGTGTGAGAGAGTAGAGCAAATGCACCCTCGGCAGTTTGATCATGAACAATCCGCAACAATAATAATAATAATAACAGCGAACAACTCTACTGCTGCACCAATAATGTCGTTTTATATTTTTGGACATCCAATATACACAACGTCAACCCCTGATATATTGCACAGTGCTGCGTCCAGCACAACATTTGACATTTAAGGACGGGGGGGGGGGGTGGGGGAGGAATTGATTCCATCAATCGTTGCCGTCCAGGGACCATTAGGCTCGCATTTTTCCGAGCTGGCGGTGGCACGTCTGTGGGCGTGGGCGTGCGGGCTCACGGCTGAGGGCGCAAGCGCGCCAGCTGGGGGCGCGGCGTTCATTGCATCGTCGTGTAGCAGGTAACCAGGTGGTGCGTTTAATCACATTTTGTGGGGGTATTTCATCTGTCATCTCCTTTCGGTGGGGACCAAGAATAGTGGCGATGTTTTATCGCCGTCGATCGCGTGCGTTCGTCCACTGACGGTGACGTTTGCGCCCAAGACCGATGGCCTCTTCTTGAGTGTGGTGGTTTTGGGGGGGGGGGGGGTTTCTTCAACATTTGGCCAGGGTGTAGGGGTTTACCTACATTTTAGCCGGCCGCAAATAATATGGCAGTTCTTGCTGGCATATTGTTTCATAATCGCTGCCAGGGCTTAATTGCATCGCGAGGGAGCTGTTCATGGCTTTGCTCTGGAAATATGTTTTGCTGCCAGCAAACCACAACCTCCCAGTATGCCTCTCGGTATGTACGTTGAACTTTTTTTCGGAACCATACACAGCCAACCGCGTTAATCGGAGGTGCGGGGGAAGGACAACGACCTCGACTCAAAAAGCAGTTCTAAAGAAATTAGTTTACAATCTAGATGATGATTTAAAAGTGCATAGCTCCAGTGGCTTCCGAACATCGGAAGAAGGAACGTTCCAGACGGCCGCAGAAGCGCATCTGAAACGCGCGATGCGGTGACCGTCATTGTTCGGCGGTGAGACGATCACTGCATCGCACACCTTCAGATGCTGTGGCTACTCATCCACTCGTCACAGGCCGCCACCTCCCCAGTCTACGAGTGGTCATCGTCAGTCGCTTGCTCCCCCCGGCCGCAGCTCCGCAGGGGTCCCACGAGACCCTGCCAGGCCGCCCGGTAGTCGTGAGCACGCCACCACGCCGAGCACAGTCCAGGACCCCCCGCGATGATTGCCGTCGGCCTCACGGTCTGCGCCGAGGTCGGCTCCAGCACCGCTACCGGTGATGATGGCGGTGGCGAGATGTTAACTACCTCGCCTGGTATGCGGGAGGTTGTCGTGGGTTCGATCCCGATCCTATTGCCTGCTCTATATTTGGAGTTTGCGTGTCTCTCCCTCTCTGGTTTCGTGGATTTTTCTCCTGGTGCTCCGGTTTTTCCCCACCACGGTTAGAAACGCGTGCGTTTAGGGTGCTTGGCTGCTGCCGTTATTTCCACGTGGTAAGCAGAGTTATGTTTTTTGTTTGCATTATGACTGCAGGTATTGTGGTCTATGCAAGCATGACTCCTCGTAAAAAAGGTGTCAGTTTTGTTGCCAGATAGAAGGGTAAAAAACCAATCATCTTATTGTTTACTGGCAAATGAGGTTCCAATGGTATAAGCCACTTCGTTCAGCCATCATTTGTGGCCAGGTTGCTTCTGAAAAACATCTATATTGCTCAGTGGGCCTTACATGGTAAAATAAAAATAAAAAATAGTATAGCTTAGTTTACAAATAGTTTAGTTTCGTGGTGGTGGTGGTGCGCAGGACTCTGATGCAATCAGGCCCGAGGTGTCTGCCCGGACGACGTGGGTCCTGAGAGGTTGAAGTCTCCTGGCCCCTGACCGTTTTGGTCATCGCCGGGGAGACGCTCTTCGCCAGCGGAGGCTCGGTGTTGGCGATGGCGCGTCGATGAAATGGAGGCGGGAGAGATCCGTCGCAGGCGCCACCGGTCGAACGCGTCCACTTTCCCGCGCAGAGGCGCTGTGAGAAACATCGCTTTTCCCTGCGCCCTGGAACATTTTCAGTTTATGAACTGACTCCATAGCTCTTAACTAAGCGATGTTATAACGGGCACTATGTCAGTGTGGATCTATACGCGTTTAAGTTCAACTTCTATCATCCTTGGCAATGGAAGGTGGGAGTGCTATTGGCAGATCCGATTACCCCGAGTTTGTCCGTGGAAATTACTTCCCGTGTGGCTATTCAAGGATAGATGCAGATAGCGGGATTAATTTTAACGGCCATTTCTGAGTTTCTCCTCCTCTTATCGGTGAGGAACGTGGATGTTGGGATTAATGTCGCTTATCCGTGAAGCCACGGGGCAACTTTTGTGGGTCCCCCCAGGTCACTCTTGCAAACGAGACTCGTCCTGGTTTAAACAAAATAAGCGTGCAACTTGACATTTGACTCGGTTATGCATATGTGGATAATATGGTCAGTTGGCACTGGCAACTAGGTATCTTGCTGCTATCTGTGGAAAAGCGTGGATAGCAAGAAGAATCCATTTTGCGGACTAATATTATTCTCTGACGTTTTATTTAGGACACGGAATGCATGCGCCCATTGGATAGGGCGCTCTCCGATTAGAGCAGCTTCACTATAATCACCGCGGGCCTGTGTGTGTCGACGACATGTGATGCGTACGCGGCGTTGCCGAATGTGTGGGTCTATAAATTGGCAGCAACCCCATCTCATTTTACAGTCGGTTTGGATGTTAATGGGCAAAGGGTTTTTTTTTACTCCTTAAGAAACGTGGACCCCTCCAAATTGCACCGTGGCTTCCGAAGTGTGTGGTGAATCTGTGGGCATGGTGTTGCATTCCCTGCCTGCCCTTCCACCCCAACCTAGTGCCCCCTACCCATGCACCATCCTTTTTTTATTCTTTCCCACAGCCTGGCACGAGTTTGGCAAATTGCCCAAGACATTAGATTCCTTGTGGCAATAAATCTTTTCAGGACCCGGGATGGCTTCCCACTGCCCCCCCCTCCCAGCCGCTCCCGTACGTACTGACGCGGCGTGACAGAATTTCTCCCGCGAATTGCTAATGATAGCAATTGTTTACATCGGTGAAATGGCCTCCATGTATTTACGGGTTGATTCGGTTGAATGCGCCATCTTTTAGTCAACCTTGAGGTGCTCGTGATTTTATCATTGTGATACATTTTTTGTGGTTATTGTCCGAATCGTAATTTTGCTTGCAATGTGGTGCAAGCCAGGTTCTTGCGGGAGGGCGGAGTGGTGCCTATGTTGCTGCGCGACCAAAGGTTGTGACTAGAATTAAATTCCCAGGGCAGCCCTGCAGTTTCTTGTTCAAGCCACTGCTGGTGGAAGTGCCTACTCATCCACAAAGGCCAGATGGGTGTATATATACTATATATATGAAGTGCACTGCAATGATTAATGGTGATGACAGAGGTGGTGGTATTGGTGATGATGACAATGATGACGATGATGATGATATTACACTGATGATGATCGTGATGATAGAGGTAACAGCATCGACGACCACGACGACAACTATGACAGCAGCAGCAATGGTAATGAATCCCTCATCTCTGTTGCCCGCATGCGTGTCCCGACCATTCAGGAGAGATATGCGGTTTCCGCGTAAGTGGAGCGGGCGACATCCCCTTCGAGGTGGTGCTGGTGGACGGGCAGAGCGGTGAGGGCCTTGTGAGGGCCACTCACCCGCTGGGTTGTCCATCGCGAGGGCCCGGCGACGCCGACACCACCAACAAGGCTCGCCGTGACTACACGTTCTCCGTGCAGGCCTACGACTGTGGTGAGGGCCCGGACGGAACCGGCCAGAAGAAGTCGCGCAAGTGAGTCACCACCCCTCCCCCCCCATCTCGGTCACGGTGCCACAGAAGCGAGCCGCGGTGGCGAGATGTTGACTCCCTCGCCTGGTATGCAGGAGGTCATGACTCAGGTTGTTTTGGGTTAGATAGTATAAATAAACATTCTGATTCCGTTATTTACACGGAGGGAATCTGGTGAGCTATAAAGCTCTTTTTCACAGGTGTCCAGTATGGGCGGGTAAGAACGTTACAACAACAAACAGTACAAAAACATGAGAGTAGTGCAAAGTATAAGAAAGGTAAACAAAGACACAAACACATAAAACTAAACCATGTCGTTAACCCACCACCATCCGGTACAGCCAATTAGCGAGGTTTGCCACGTAAAACAGAACGTGCCAATTTGTTACTACTTCAGCACGCCGATGTGGTTGTAAAGTGAAACCACAACATTTACAATTTGAATGACGTGACATTTCGCTGGTGATTACCACCAGCTTCATCAGGTGATTAGCCAGAATTGTGAAGATGTCTTTCCTGTTCTAGATTTGAAGCTTGATGCAGCAAATCTGGCTGTAACGGTCCCACCTGATGACGGAGACTTGTGTTGCCTCCGAAACGTCGTGATTTTTATTGTTTTATTTTTATTTCATTTTTTACCTACGTGACTTTACCGAAAGTACTAAGAGTATGTCTTTCCTGTATCCGCTCTTAAATAGAGTGAAGGTGTGATGGCATCACTGTGAGCCTATTAGGTGCAAAGATCAGAGGTGTGTTAATGTAATCATATAATGTATTATGTTCATGTGAGAATATGCAGTACCTATTTATACAGGAGAGGTCATAAGTTCGATCCCGACCCTGACGCCTGTATATTTTGAGTTTGCATGTTCTCCCTGTGGTCGCGTGGATTTTTCTCCAGGTCTTTCGGTTTTTCCTTTCACATTTAGAATCAACGTGCGTTTAGAGTATCAGGCTGCTATAAATTTCCACATGACAAGCCACTTCGTTGGGATATCATTTTTGTTCAGGTCCCTTCTGAAAAAGAGCCTTATAGCTCCGTGGGCCTTACCTGGTCAATAAGTATAACCCGTAAAAACAAAGTTTTTCACTCTAAATCCTTTATATGCGTGGCGGCTAGAGTCCTCTCGTCCTCTGGCTTGAGATGGCTGCCACCTATGGGTCAGATGATTGTCTGCCAGTATTAAGCAATTGGTAATTAGATATTTAATTTGTTTTCCCTAAACAGTGTAAAAATTTTCACGAACATTAATTGTCTCGCACAACGAGTCTGTGTGCAAAATGTCAGCTCGATTGGATCACGGGAAGTGGGTTAAAAAACGACCGAAAGATTTGCACGGTCGCAAGCAAGCAAGCAAGCACGCAAGCAAGCAAGCAAGCGAACTTAATATAAAGGATTTAAAAATAGTTTAGTTTTGTCGTTTAGTTAATGTACATATTTGTAATGAAGCCCTGCAATTGCTTACACCAGTGATTCCCAACCTGTGACTGTATGGGGAGGTTGTCGTCCAGCAGTGGATAGACTTGCGGATTATGGGGAATGTCTGGAGCTTGACCGTGACGAGTAGCAGCAGGGGGGGCCCACATCACAGAGTGCTGGGGGAAGGGAAATTCCATACCTCGGGGGTAGTAATCGTGCAAATGGTCACAATTACGTTACACACAGGTGTTTTAAAGTAATGTTAATTATTACAATCGCTTTTAACTTAAACGGATAATGGCACGTTGTCGTGGATTCGTGCTTCATTTCTAACCTTGGCTAAATTGGCAGCGGGGCAAATCACGTGGGGGCTTTGAATGGCTCACCTTTACTGGCGTGTAGGGAAGGCATCTGTAGACCGCCCGCCACGCCCTCAAAGCCAGGTGCCGTCTCGAGCCCGCGGCCCACAGTCACCGCAGGGTTGACGGCACGTCGGGCCGCACCTTTTGCGGTCGATGTAAAATCGGGGACGACATGATTTTTCAGGCGTTCGTTCTGCTCTCCCCCCCCCCAAAGTTATTTAATTGCATTCGGTGGGGGGGAGGGGGCAAGCTGCAGCTCTACTGGAAAGGCGAAAGAAAAAGAAGTGTGAGCACACACACACACACCACCACCCCCCTTGATGTGTAGCAGCCATTCCGGCGGCAATCATCAGCTATATGGGGCTCCCAGCAGGAGCAACTGCCACCCTTCCCCACTGCATTCTCCCTACCCGTTCACCTTTGAACTGTGTTAATGCAGCACAGACCATCGCTCATGGGCCCCCTGAGGCTTCAAGACCCCCCCTCCCGCACCCACTACTCCGTAGCTGCAGGTTTCAATGATTGTAGCTGCTCTCCTCTGAGCCCGTATTGTTTCCATATTAATTGCCAAACATGCTTGTGTTTAAAACGCATTGTACAGCCGTCGCTTCTTGGCCCTTTTTCGCCGAGATCAAGTGTGCCGTGTCTCCTCTAATTGGTTGAATGTCTGACACGTACCGCAATGCCAGTACCTTACATTCTATTGGTTTTTGGGAGATGGCGAGGTTTGGAGGAGGGGGGGGGGGGTTTGCTTGTCCCCTCTGCGCAGGAGTTATGCACCTGTACGTACATAAGTATGTTGAACTTCGTTCGCACCGTACGTAGCAAACTGTGCTAATTGAAGGTGCGGGGGAAGGACAGTAAACTAAATACAAAAAGCAGTTTAAAAAATGAGATTTCAATCTTGATTTTAAAGTGCATAGCTCCAGTGGATTCTTAAAATCGGAAGGAAGAGCGTTCCAGACGGCTGCAGAATGGAGAGGGGTGACAAAATATGAATTGTAAAACTCCGTGCAGCGCTGCAATTTCTTACTCAACCCACTGATGTCGAGCAGAAGGGCCTCTGCTAAAGGGAGCTCTGCGGAGCCCTTCTTAAAGGGTATTTTGGCCTATTCTTCCACGCTGGCCAGATATAGTTGGAAGCGATGGTAGTACCCAGACACATCATCCCACCCATGCGACCTGACCGATATCGGCTGGCTGTGCTGCACCCAAATGTTATGCCGTGTGGGCCGAGGGCGGCGCGTTGGAGGATAAAATTAAACTTGCGCCATTATTTCTACCGCCACGCGCTGGGAGTTCCGACCGGCGACCTCTGGTTCGGTCTGATAACTATTGCAACCATGAAATTCATTACGATTATTAATAGTCCACGTTTCTGAAAAGCGTTTTTTTAGGACTCTTAAATGTACATTCCGTTTGTGATTTACGCATCAATTAGCTAACTTTGTTATGAAACTTTTTCCGATGAAAATGATAAAAAAGTAAATTATTTTTTTGCAAACTAGATTCGAAGCTTTCGTGACTGCATGAATTACTCTGGTTCTTTCGGTAAAGTCACGTAGAAAGAAATTAAATTAAATAATAATAGAATACTCCGTACGCTATGGGCAGGAATTCCACACAACTTCCCCTGCCCCACCCCCCTCTCTCTCTTTAAGGGCTCGATACAGAGACGTAGTCTTTCTCTGTGCCAATGTGTGTGTGTCTCTCTCTGTTTGTCTCTGTGTGAGTCTCTCTCTGCTTGTGTGTCTGTCTGTGTGTCTCCGTGTCTATGTTTTGTCTCTTTCTCAAATCTAGCAATCTTTGGAAGAAGGTAATCAACCAGGTGGGGTGTTGACTGTTGTGTTGGCCGACTCTCTGTGTTGTATTGCATTATACTTCCAAGTCTCCTATGTTTGTATTCTCATTCATTTGTACCTGATGACGGTTGCTTGTGTTGCAATCGAAACGTCGTATTCTATTACTATTTAATTTAATTTCTTTCTGCGTGACTTTACCGAAAGAACCAAATAGCTATTTTTGCAATTGACTTCTTTTTTACTTTGTCTCGCATTTTTAAACAGCTGAGTCCACGAACAGCTGCACAGCAGAAACTGACGTGAAGCACCGGTGCTCGACGGTGCTTCTCTGGGTGACAAAACACGCCAGACTAAAAAAGGCTCTTCCGGTGGGGAGGGATACGATGCGACACTGTAACACTGAGCAAATGCTGGTGGACGTTAGGTGAAAGCAAGTCGAATTTAAATATATATATAATTTTAGAAGTGCCAAGAAATTACAGTCGCATTAGTGGAGCCGCCTGCCCCGTGAGGATCCGCATGGGCAGCCTTCCACTCGCGTTCAGGATATGAAAATATTAAATCGAACTCCCTGTGGAGGAAAAAAAGAATTACGCACATTTTCTCAGGACCACCTGAGCGCCTCAAGCAAGGTCAGCTGGCAGAGGACGCCTCCAACAATGAGACGTGATTTTGCAGCTTTTGCCGTTATTCTGATTAAACAAATTTGCATGCTTAATGATGTGCACTTTCAGAGGGCCATAATCATCATCACAGCCTATTTGCCACCTGTGACCAAAGCTTATTTATTTAATCAATGTCGGCAATATCAGATTTATCTCGTGGGTGAGGTCTATTTAGTCTTCCGTCCGTTAGCCGTGGCGTTGATGGGACTCCACCATGGTGTAATGGTTAGCCCACTGGACTTGCAAAACAGGGTCGCCGGTTTGACTCGATTTCTGGTCAGGCGGTTGACGTTTGTTAATTCCCTACTCTCCGTGCACCCACAAGTATGAATTTGGTAATTCGGTCGGCAGAGATTTGATACTCCCACTTCTACGAAGACTTCTGGCCAGTTTGGAAGAGTGGGCCACGTGCCCCTCTAGACAGACAGCCCTCAGTGGGAGGCCCATCCTCCAGCAGGAGCATGTGCCACCAATAGCAGGACTGCACCTTTACCTGTGCACATCGTTGTAATCTCTGGTGAAACTGGAAAAGAGAAGAGTTGTTATCGGAGGGCTTTCTATCATTCTTGTTTCCTGGACCGAAATATTTTTTATTTTGTTTTATGGACCTTCAAAGGACCCCTCCACCTTTAATTCTGCGGGCTGTGCTTTTGTTGTATAAATAATGTATTTTGGAAGGAAATGTGAGTCGTTTGAAATGCTCAATCTCTTGGGCCAGGCAGAGACTAATCAGCATCGGTTTAACAATTCACCC